ATTCCGAGATTCAGCACGATGGTCTTCTCCCGTGACAAACTGTAGTTGAGTCGCGCAATGTCTTCCAAAGTTTCCTCAACATGGTCTGTGCAGGCCAAATACTCGATGAAGTCTGACTCCGAAATAAAGTTTATTTGCTTGGAATGTTGGACAAGATCGGCTATCATTTGAATCTGGCGAATGGCGTCGTCTGACGTTGATTCACGGACGCGTCGTCGATGTACAAGTGTGACATGAAGCGGCGTACTCCGAAACTTATACTTTTCTCGTCGACCATGATGGGGTCGAGTTACGTAGGGGGCATAACGGGCAGCTGTTTGGCTGACACGCTGCTTGCGACATTGGTATGGGTCATCGTAATCACTACTGCTGTCCCTGCGTTCATCCGGATGTTGCAACGGCAGCGGTTGGTACGGGACATGGTAGTCGTCGTCTGACGTGTCGTCGTCATTTTTGGATGATAACTCGGCGGCGGATTCTGCGGGGTCAGTGTGGACGACATCACTGTAGTAGCACGCTGCTGAAATCCTTGCCGGATGCTCATCGTCTGACGTATCGCCGTCGTTTTTCAATGATGACCCGGCGGCGAATTCCCCAGAATCAAAGTGCACGACATCACTGTAGTATGTCGCTCTTGAAATCCTTATCGGACGTGTCGCATCGTTCTGAATATTTGCTGAGCGTTCCTCTTCAGTGTGGTTTGCTTCGTCGTGCGTATGTTCTGGTATCCAAAGGGATGTTATGTCATCGCTCAAGCCTGAGATATGTTGGATGTTTTGACCGGGAATGATGTTGCCAATGGCGTGTGCCGACTCCTCACTCCCCGACGATGTGCATTCGTCAAACGGCACGGATGTAGGCGGGCGGGTAGCCGGCGTGTCGTTATAAGCCGTGTTGCATATGTTTGAATGCTTTCGTTGGGCTGCGTGCGCTCCGTGGTAGTCCGGAGCTGGCGTCCGCACGAGTCGGTGGAACTGTGGAGTGAATGCCGAGTCGGAGATATCGTCGTAATCTGCTCGTATCGATACGGGCGAAGTCGCCGCATCGACAACGACACTTTCAGAATTGTCCAAGACGATAGTGCTCGCCAGGCTTCCGTCAGATTCGATGTCGCAGCCGTCGATAACAGCCTCCGATGGCGAGTAGATGTTCACAGTGGACGTTCGACTCTGCGACGAGTTGTCCGAGTAGTAATCCGTCAATAGGGTCGTGTCGTTCACCTTCGGCATTTTTATTTCAGCCCCTGGGTTGGGCTTGCGGGTTTTCAATGAAATGAGGCTGTCTGTTTTAGGGCCCCAACTAACAGCGGACAGACATGACAACTGCATGATTTAGGGAATAACATTTAGGCCGGTGGGAGGGGCACCCTAAACCCTAAACCCTAAACCCTAAACCCTAAACCCTAAACCCTAAACCCTAAACCCTAAACCCTAAACCCTAAACCCTAAACCCTAAACCCTAAACCCTAAACCCTAAACCCTAAACCCTAAACCCTAAACCCTAAACCCTAAACCCTAAACCCTAAACCCTAAACCCTAAACCCTAAACCCTAACGACCCTAAACCCTAAA